CTTTTAATGTCAAAGTTACATCAGAAATTACTGATTTTTAAAACTCTCTTTAAAATTAAAAAAAAAATATCAAAAAAAGACACAGGCGCCCACCTGCCACACATTGTGAAAATTTCAATATTAGAGAAAATAATGATAGTGCTGACTCAGTTACACTGAATTTATAAAAATCCATGTGTCCACAATGATATCTTCAAAAAAGATAAAGTCTTTTGTTACCATTTGAAGCAACTCTTAAACCAGTTCTTTTTTTTTTTTTTTTTTTTTTTTTTTGTAAATTGGTAATTAAAAGGGAATATGGCCAGGTGGGCATGGTGGTGTGTACTTGTAATTGTAGCACTCAGGAGGCTGAAGCAGGAAGAACACTTCAATTTCAAGGCCAGCCTAAGCTACATAGTGAGTTTAAGGCCAACCTGAACTACATAGTGAGACCCTGTCTCACACACAAAAAAGGGAGGGCGAGATACTATATATATTGCATTTGTAGGAAGAATTCTGTTTTTGGGTAACCTGTTATTCAAGTTAATGAAAGAAAGTATTATTTTACAAAAGAAGGCTAGTAAATAAATGTAGAAGAAATAATAGAGTTATAAAATCAATATTTTGCAAACGTTTCAAAATGGTTGATTCAAGCAATAATAATCACTGGGTGAAAATCATTATGAGCATAGTTAATGGGGATTTTGTATCATTTACACGGTGCCGAAATAACACAGCATAGATTCCTCTCTGTTCTCAAGGGAAAAACATGGCTGTACCAGGGTGAACCAAGATTTTATCTGTTCACCCAGGCAGTCTCACCATCACTAATGATAGGCAATCAGATATTATCATTTCCCCATGTGCTACAGTGTTTATAATGTCACTTATGCAAAAGCTTAAAAATGAATCTATCTAAATTCCAACATTCAGGAAATTCCAGAATTAAAGGACAAACTAAACGTCACCGTACTGAAGCAACCACACAAACCCAGAACATGGAACATTTGACGAGACAACTCTCACTGAGTCTAAATTTAAAGAAACCAAAGGGCAAAACCAGGTCCTGGAATGGATATTGGCTTTGAAAAAACAAAACAAAACAACATAATTCTATCCTTGGTATTCACCCAAAGAATTTGAAAACTTCTTTCTGCAGAAAACCCTGCAAATGGATGTCTGTAGAAGCTTTACTCGTAATTGACAAAATCTGAAAACAACTAAGATGTTCTCCAGTGGGTGAGCAGGTAAATAAACAATGATATATAAAGACAATGGAATGTTATTCAGGGCTATAAAGAAACGAGCCATCTGGGGCTGGGGATTTAGCTCAGTGGCACAGCGCCTGCCTGGCAAGTGCAAGGTCGTGAGTTTGATTCCCGGTACCAGGGGAAAAAAAAAAAAAGAAACGAGGCATCAAACCACAAAATAACATGGAGTAACTTACACGCAAGTTACTGAATCAATGAAGTTAATCTGGAAAGGCTGCACACTGTATGATTCCAATGATATGACCTTGTAAAAAGGCCAAACTATAGAGACAGTAAAAAGATCAGTGTTTGCCAAGAATAGAGGGCAGAGGCGGGGAAGGGTAAAAGGAAGAGAAAGAATTTTTAGGGTAGTGAGAATACTGTACATGATGCCATAATGGTGGATCATTACACATCATTACACATTCATCCAAACCCATAGAATGTACAACACCAGGAGTGAACCCTGATGTAAACGATGGACTTTAGACAATTATGACGGGTCATAATGACAGTGTAGATCCTTCTGTTACAACAAATGCACTACCCAGGTGGAAGACGTTCTTAATGTGGGAACATAGGTATGTGGTGGGGGAGGGAAGCATATGGGAAATCTCTGTATCTTTTTCTCAGTTTTGCTGGGAACCTACTGCTCTTAAAAAACTTTTAGAAAAATTCTATAGGCTTTTTTTTTTTTTTTTTTTTTTGGTTTTTCTCCGGTACCGGGAACCGAACTCACGACCTTACGCTTGCCAGGCAGGCGCTTTGCCGCTGAGCTAAATCCCCAGCCCCTCTATAGGCTTTTGAAGGAGAATTGAGGACAGTTGGTGAAATGAATAGCTCCTTAAATCTAAGGAACTGTTACTCATCTTGTTAGGTGTCATCCTCTTATTTTGGTTGCACATAAAATATTCATTTAAAAAAGATTTATACTTAAATATTCAAGCTGAAATGTCATGATAGCTGTAACTCAGTGTAAAACAGTTTTTTTGTGGTACTGGGAATAGAACCCAGGGCTTACTCACTGAGCTACTTGGGAGGCTGAGGCAGGAGGATTGCCAGGAGTTTGAGGCCAGCCTGGGCTACATGGTGAGTTCAAGGCCAGCCTGAACTGGATAGTGAGACCCTCTCTTGAAAAACAGAACAAAAGTTTATTTACAGTAAAAGACACATCACTATTAATCCCCCTCAAAATCCTCCCCCTCACTTCGAACACGCTTATCCCATGTGCTTGCCTATTTTTAAAATGTCTTTAGTTGTACTGTCATGGCTGTCTTGATATCCTGAATCAATTTTAAATGTTTACCTTGAGCCAGAAGTTTCACGGTGCCAGATCTGGCAAATAAGGTGGATGAGGATACAGCCTCATATTTTTACAAGGCTGCCTTTTTGTCAGATAGCACTTGGCATATGTATGTATATATATATATATATATATATATACACACACACACACACACACACACACACACACACACGGCCAGGGATATAGCTCAGTGGCATAAGCACCTGCATGGTAAGTGCAAGGTCCTGAGTTCGATTCCTGGTACCAAAAAAAGTATATATATATTTATACTTTATTTATATATAAAAATATATTTATATTTATATATATTTATATATATAAATCAAGTGTGAGCTTCCTATCTGAGATTGGAAATAAAAATCAGGTAGTAAGCAAGTGCTACCCTTATCCTTATGATAGCTCAACAATTGAGTTTATAGACATGGTGGGCACCAGTCTGACTGGCATTCTGGCTGGTTTACCTCTCTACTTCCTTGCAAATCAAACCTTTTCCTTTTTTTTCTCTCTGACTGTGCTGGGAACCACTCAGGCATGTCCTTGTGTGTGCAAGGCAAACCCTGTACCACCTTGTAAAGACATGAAAGAGCGCTGCTGGGACTGCCTCAGAAAGCGGCAAGTACACTGATAAGTGTGTTCAAAGCAGGGGAGAGGGTTTTGAGGGGAGGACTCGTGGCAATGTGTCATTTACTGTAATAAAGCTTTAAAAATTTAAACATTCACCATATATTTTGATCACCTGTGCATCTACCATGTAATCCAGCCACTCCGATTTTTGATATTTACTTAAGAGAAACAAAAGCATCTACTCATACAAAGACTTGCCAGGATATTCATAGCACTTTTATTTACAAGAACTAAAAATTGTAACAGTCTAGATGGCCATCGACAGATGAGTGGATACGGAGGTCCTGGTGCATCCTTATAATGGAATACTCAGTAATGAAAAGGAAACTAATTATTGTCACACACAGAAATGTGGGTGAATCGCACAATAATTATGTCAAGTTGAAGCAGTGTACCGTGGGCTGCACACTGTATGGCTCCACTGTATAAGGTTCTAGAAAATGCAAACTAAGCTTCAGAGACGGAAAGAGGAAGGCGTGCAGGGATGGGGGCTGGGAAGGCTGAGATGGAAGGGTTACCAAGGGGCATGAGGAAAACTTTGGGGGCGATAGACACATTAATTATCTCATGTGTAAAGAGTATTTCACGGGCGTACGTGTATGTCATAGCTTTACATATGTGCCATGTAGGGCTTATCTATTAGATCACAACTGTTTAAAATAAATGAGGATCTTAAATTGCACCTAGTGACTACAATGACAACATGGGAAATTCTAAACTTTGCAGAAGTCTAGGAAAGTGTCTGAGTGTCCTGTCTGAAACTGGAGATGACGTCAGGTGGTAAGCAAGGGCCAGGGTTACCCTTGTTGATAGCTTAACAACTGAGTTTATAGAGATTATGTGCACCAGTCTGTCTGGCGTTCTATGTGTTATTTTTACTTTCTTGTGAATCAAACCTTTTTTGTTTGCTGGGGATCACAGTTAGGCCTTCCTACATGCTAGGCACTCTCCCAGTGAACTACCTCCCAGCCACCTGAGATTTATAACATTGTTGTAGTAAGTCTTGGACAGTTGGGACATACTTTAACTTAAAATAATTGCTTTAAAAACTTAGTGTTTGTTTTTATTTTCCAAATTGGGGGTAGGGAGAGTTTACTCACAAGTCTTGTGATAGATTTATTTTCCAGTAATATTTGCTATTTAGATACATGTAAGATTTGGGGTTGTGTTGATTTAATTTTGGAGGGGCTGAGAAAACCACACACACTCATCAGCTCTTGCTAAGGCTTCAGGTGCTAAGGGGACCACTACTCTTCCAAACCACTGGCCAAGACTCAGGCGCATAGCCAGGTGTGGTGGTGCAAGCCTGTAGTCTCAGCACTCTAGGAGACTGAGGCAGGAGGATCATAAGTTTCATTCCATCCTGGGCAGTTATGAAATTTAGCAAGAATTTGTCTCAAACTAAAAAAATAAAAAAGGGCTGGAAATGTAGCTCATCGTGAAGGCTGAAGAAAAAGGGAGGAGGATGTAAAAGAAGAGGCGGAAGAGGAAAAAGAGGAGAGAAAGAAATTCAGAGAGGCAGAACAAAACTTTGAACTTAACGTCTTTCACATTTTAATTTTACTAAGAGACTACTTAGGGTTTTACTTAGATACTAAATGAAAGCTCTTTTGTTCTCATCACACACTGTGCTACTTGAAAGTTTTAATCGGTCATCTGAGCTCGCAGCATAAAGCAAGAAGGTAGCTCCGGGGTAGTAACTGCATCCTGCCGACCTGATCGTCTTCACTCGCTTGCCCCACGTCCCCACCAAGCACGAGTGCATCCTTCCAAGCCCCTCCTGCTCACTTCTTCCTTCCCGGGTCTCCAGTGCCTCACCCCCCGCCCCCACGGTCACTCACAGGGCGCGGTGTCGCGCAGATACTCCCACCACTGCCGAAGCGTGGAGTCCCCCATCATGTGGACGATGCGGCCAGCCAGGCAGCCGAGGATGCTGTCAGCCGTGGGGAAGGAGCGGCTGGAACAGCCCAGGGAGCGCCACACATTTCCATGGTAGAAGCCAGAGGGCTTTGGGAACAGGAGGCCAGGGCGGCACGGGAGCTGTGGGGACAGGGCTACAGGAAGGAGAAAACACAACAGGCTATAGAACAAAAGGAGCCAACGTTAACTTCTTAACACATGTCAGGTGCTCTTCTCTTCCATGTGCTTTACACACATTATTTCATTCAGTCTTTTATAAAACCTATGGAGTACTGTTCTTACCTCCACTTACAAGTGGGGACACTGGGAGGCGGAAATGCTAAGAATTTGCCCATGATTAAGAATAATGAGGGGATCAAGAGTTGGAGGGAGGAGGAGGGAGGGGAGGGGGAAAGGATGAAGAAAGAATTAAAATATGTACGTATGTTTAGTCCACACAAGGAATATAATCCTTATATACTGCAAATGCACACTAACAAAACTTTAAAATTAAAAAATGATGGGCAGTTTCTCAAAAAGTTACGAATAGAATACTATCTGATGCCACAATCCCAATTTTGGGGTTATACTCAAAGGAACTGAAACGAGGATCTTTTTTTTTTTTTTTCATCTTTTTTTTGAGACAGGGTCTCGCTATGCAGTTTAGGCTGGCCTTCAGCTTACTTTGTAGCCCAGGCTGGTCTCAAACTCACAACGATCCTCCTGCCTCAGCCTCCAGAGTGCTGCGATTACAGGCATGCACCACGCCCGGCTTGAAACCAGGATCCTGAAGAGATATTATCTACACTTCCGTATTCATGAATCATTATTCACAGCAGCCAAGACACAGGCACAACTGAATGTCCATCAGCGGATGAATGGAAAGAGATAATGTCACATACACATAAAATGGAATATTATTCACTCTTAAGAAAAGAAATCTTAAAAAAAAAAAAAGAAAGGAAATCTTACCACTTGTGGAGTATGGTGACATTATATTGAGTGAAATAAGCCAGATAAAGACAAATTCTACATGATCTCACTTATAAGTGGAATCTAAAAAACTGAATTCAGAAACAGAATAGGACAGTGGTTTCCAGGCATTTGGGAGGAGAGGAAAAGGATCAAAACATGTGAACTTTGGATTATAAGATTAATAAATTCTAGGGATCTAAGGTACACCCTGGTGACTACAGTTGATAATATCATACCGTATACTTGAACTTTGCTAAAAGATGAAAGGTTAAGAGTCCCTGTCAATCAAACACACACACACACACACACACACACACACACACGCCCCCAAAACAAAAAATGAAGGTAACTATGTGAGCTGATCGATGTGCTCACTAATTATGATAATTCTTTCATAATATCTACAATAGCATACCACATTGTATACCTTAAATATATACAATTTTATTTGTCAATTATTCATTAATGTAGCTAGAAAAGTAAAAAATATAAAGGATAAAGAAGGAAGTCCTGCCATTTGTGACAATACAGATGAGCCTGAAGGACATTACACTACATGAAATAAGTCAAAGGACAAATACCACATGAGGAATCTCAAATAGACTCGCAGAAGCAGAGAGCAGACTAATGATTGCTAAGGGACAAGGGGGAGAGGGAACAGGGAGGTGTTAGTGAAGGGATAGAAAATTTCAGTTATATAAGATAAACAATCAAGCAGGGTGTGGTGGTGCACACCTGTAATCCCAGCACTCAAGGGAGGCCGAGGCAGGAGGATTGTTGCAAGTTCGAGACCAGCCTGGCTACAAAGTGAGCTCAAGGCTAGCCTGAACTGCATAGTGAGACCCTGTCTCAAAAAGAAAAAAAAAAAAAAAAAAAAAGATAAACAATCAGTCCTAGACATTACTGTGCAGCACGGAACCTATAGTTAATAATATTTAATTGCATATATTTAAAATTTTTCTAAGAGGGAAGATCTTGTGCTAAGTATTTTAGTCATATGTAAATAATAACAAAGAGGACAGGAGGAAACTTTCAGAGAGGATGGCTATTTCAAAATATTTATAAAATATTTAATGTAAAATATCTTATAACCACAGTGGTGTATTGAAGCATATACTTTCTCTCAAGTATAGAGCACCTCTATACATACATGGTATGAAATGTCAACCAGTCACCGACACAATAGGTAACATTCTTGCAGAGAATAGAAAATTCCCTGTCGCAAATATTTTAATCATCTAGTTTAAACAACTGAGATTTAAAAAAATCTACAGTGATCTGTATAGTAGTAAAGCTTCAAAACAGAAATTAAACTCCTTGGTTACAGTGTAGAATTTTAAATTGGATTTACTCTTGATCTATTTATCAGTCCTATCACACTGAAGCTTAAACTTTAACTGCTGTGGAGTTGTGGATAAGTTTATAGCATTAAATGTGATGATTTCACAGATGTGTACTTATCATCAAACTCACCAAGCTGGATATATTAAATATGTGCAATTTCTGTGTCAATCATAACTTGATAAACTGATTGTTTAAAGAAAGAATAGTGATGGGTAGGGACAGCATTTCAATCCAGGAGGTTGTTGTTATAGTCCATACTCCTGACCTCTGTAGTATTCCATCCTCCCCTTCAGGAATAAAAGTCACCCAGTTCTATTACCAGCCAACCCCCAGCATATCCCAGTCCTACTCACTCAGAGTGGTGTTACTTGTGGCTGCAGGTCTGACCAGGATTGGAGAAATGCCCTGAGAGAGCACCTTGTCTGTCACATTCCTAGAGAAACAGGAGAGCCTGCATTGAGGGATATGATCGGGTGAAGTTTAAACTGCTAGGGTATATGATGATTGACTTGCCATCTCTGTTTCATCTAATTTTAAAAATGAATGAGATTATTACAATATAATTAGCACACTGCTAACTTGAGACAAGTACAACAGAGAAAAAAATGATGGAAGGAACAGAGAATTCTTATTTTTTCTGAAGAAAGGTCAGAGAAGCTGCCAGGTGTGGTGGTGTGCACCTGTAATCCCAGCACTCAGGAGGCTGAGGCAGGAGAATCTGCGAGTTTGAAGCCAGCCTGAGTTCAAGGCCAGCCTGAACTGCATAGCAAGACACTGCCTCAAAATGCCAAAAAAAAGAAAGGAAGGAAGGAAGGAAGGAAGGAAGGAAAAAAGGAAAGAAAGAAAGAAAGAAAGAAGGAAAAGAGAAAGAAAGAAAGAAAGAAAGAAAGAAAGAAAGAAAGAAAGAAAGAAAGAAAGAAAGAAAGAAAAAAAGAAAAGAAAGTCAGAGAAACTGTCACAGCCCAGAAGAGCTTAAGGAAACAGGATAACTTGAATGGGACCCTGGAAAAGAATTAAAATACATTAGGTAAAAATTAAGGAAATCCAGATAAGCAATGGGCTGGAATTAATAATAATATGTCACCGTTGGTTCACGAATTATAAGAGATACACCATAGTCATGCAGGATGTGAAAAATAGGAGGAACAATAGAGGAAAGGGAAAATGGAAACTTTCTGTGCCAGCATCTCAACTTCTATGTAAATCTAAAGCTTTTTTTGTCTTTTTGAGAAAGTGTCTCACTATTCAGTTCAGGCTGCTCTTCAATTCACTTTGTAGCCCAGGCTGGCCTCAAACTTGCAACAATTCTCCTGCCTCAGCCTCCCGAGTACTGGGATTACAGATATGCACCGCCATGCTGGGCTAAAACTTTTTCTTAAAAATCTCTTAATAAAAAACCCATGCATAGATGTTTACCTACTATGAAAATATTTGTTTGCAAAAGTCTTATACATTAACATTGGCAGCAGTTTTATTCATAATGGCCCAAACCTGGAAAAAACCCACATGTTCATCAAGAGGCAAATGGATAAACAAATTGTGGGATATCTGTATAAGTGGAACACTCTTCAGGAAGGAAAGAGAAAGAACTACTAACACCCAGAAGCAACATGGATGAGTCTCTGAAACATTTCCCTGAGCAGAGGACCCAGGAGGAGTGTACATCGAATAACTCCATTTTTATGGAGTCATAATTCTGGAAATAATTATAGAATTCATAAAATTCTAGACTTCTAGTCATAACTCTAGAAAAGACAAGCGTATTTACAGTCAGAAGGCAAGTCAGTGTGTGCCTGGGAGTGGAGACAGGTAGAGGAAATTGATTGTGAAGGGCACAGGAGAACTCTGGGGCGGTGAAATTGCACTCACACATTTATTTGAGAGAAATGAAAATTTATGCTCATAGAAAAGCCTCTGTATGAATATTCACAAAAGCTTTATTAATAAGAGTCAAAAGCTGGAAATGCCTCCCAAATGTCCTTTGATGTATGAATGCTTTAACAAACACATACAGTGACATCTCAGAGAGCAAGAAAAAGAAATGAATTATTGATAACTCCAGTGGATTTCAAGGGCACCATGTCCAGTGGGGGGAGAAAAAAAACAGTTGCAACTGACTGCAGACTGTATGATTCCATTTATATAACATAGAAATAGCAAAAGTATAGAAATGGAGAACAGATAGGGTTGCCAGGAGACAGGGACAGGAGTTGGAGGGTGGGAGTGCCAAAAAGGGACAGTAGAAGGGATTTTCTGTATGGTGATGGGAGCTTCCTGTATCTTGATTGTGCTGGAGCTTATGTAAATCTATTGTGAAGAAACACACACACACACACACACACACACACACACACACACACACACACGAGGATATATATAAGCTGATTAAAACTAAGTAAAATTTGTGGTCTATCAGAATTATACCAGTTAATTTTCTTGTTTCGATATTCCACTTCATATACATGAGGTGTTAGCATTGGAGGAAGCTGGGGGGAAGGGTTACATTATTCTGTGTACTATTTTGCAACTTCTTGTGAGTCAATAATTATTTCACAATAAAAAGTTAAATTTTAAAAAGTAATAAATAGCTCATTGCAGGTACCACAAAGGCCCTCTCTAACCACTTTCTTCCCATTCCATTCATCACAAGGATAAATCACTACTGTAAATTCAGTGTTTATATTCTCATCCATATTTTATACACTTGATATATAATGTATCTAAAATACGAAATAGAGGGGGCTGGGGATTTAGCTCAGTGGCAAAGCGCCTGCCTGGCAAGCGCAAGGTCGTGAGTTCGGTTCCCGATACCGGAGAAAAACCAAAAAAAAAAAAAAAAAAAAAAACAAAATAGAATGGCTTGCAAGTTTTAAAACTTTATAATAACAGTATAATATGTGCATATTATTCCTCATTATATTTTCAAGGTATAGTTCTGTTACAGGATATAGCTGTTCTTCATTCATTTGAACTTTATGATTCCATTATTTATCCATTTTCTATTGGTTATGAGATAGTTTGCAATATTTTTCTACCATAATGTCTACAGTAAACATTCTTGTATATGTTCCTTGGGTCTCATGTAAGAAAAGTTCACTATAATTTATAACTAGAAGGCAGATTTCTTTCTTTTTTTTTTTTTTTTTTTTTTTTTTTTTTTTTTTTTTTTTTTTTTTTTTTTTTTTTTTTTCTTTTTGAGACAGGGTCTTGCTGTGCAGTTCTGGGTGGCCTTGAGATCACTTTGTAGCCTAGGCTGGTCTTGAACTTGCATCGATCCTCCTGCCTCAGCCTCCCAAGTGCTGGGATTACAGGCGTGTGCCACCACGCCTGGCTTAGAAGGCAGATTTCTGAGTGGCAGTTCATATGCATCTTCAACTTTACTAGGTATTGTCAAATTGTTTCCAAAGTTGTTACAACAATTCACACCCTTAAAAAGGTATATGAAATTTTCTCTCTCAACCCATCCTCATCACCCTTTGTTTTTTCAGACTTAAAGATTTTTGTCAATATAAAAATTACTGAAACTGGGCATGGTGATGAATATCTGTAATCCCAGCCCTTGGGAGGCTGAGGCAGGAGGATCGCTGGGAGTTCAAGCCCAGCCTGCACTGAGTTCAAGGACAGCCTGAATTATGTAATGAGACCTTGTCTCCAAAAAAAATTATTGAAAGATGATATTTTGGTTTTAATTTAAATTTCCCTGATTGTTCATGTGGCTGAATATATACTTATATTTTATTTACTACATATTCACATTTTTCTTCTGTGATTTTTTATTTATATATTTTGCCCCTTTTTTTTAAAAGGCAGGATCTTGCTAAATTGCTAAGTTGCCCAGGCTGGGCTCAAACTTGTAGTCCTTCTTCTTCAGCCTGCCAGAGTCCTGGAATTATAGGCATTCCCCAGCACACCAGCTCTTGATTTATATAATTTTTTCTTATTGTTTCACAGGATTTCTTTATTTACTCAAAGCACTAATCTTGTATCAATTATATGTGTTATAGATATCATCCCAAAATCTATGACAGCCTGATTTAAATTATGTTTATGGGGCTTTTTGTAACAAAGACTTTTTTATTTACATATAACCCAATGTAAATATTTTCCTTTATGACACTAAAGCAATATTTTATCAATCCCAATTCATAAAGATATTTTGTGCTTTTATCTTCTTTGAGTTTTAAGGTATGCTTTTTAGTTAGCTCTTTAATCCTCCTGACATTGATCTTTCTGTATAGTGTAAAGTTCCAATATAATTATCTGCTTTTCTATTTCTTCGCTATTTAATACTTTCTGTGTTGATTTGAATGCCTGTTATATTTATATAAAGTTAGTTACATTCATGGATCTAGTCCCTTCCATGATATGCTTAACTATGAGTAAGTATATGCTGCAAAATCAGGTTAAGAAGCTTGTCTACAGAGCCGGGCATGGTGGCACATGCCTGTAATCCCAGCACTCGGGAGGCTGAGGCAGGAGGATTGTTGCGAGTTTGAGGCCAGCCTGGGCTACAAAGTGAGCTTCAGGCCAGCCTGAACTGCATAGTGAGATCCTTTTTTAAAAAAAAAAAAAAAAAAAAAAAAAAAAAGAAGCTTGTCTAAAACTATTTCATACAGAAAATTTGAAATATAAAGAGATGGGAAAAGGTATACCAATATCAAGCAAACTGAAGCTATTATAACAATATTAATATCATAAAAATTACAATTTAAGGCAAAAAAGTAAAATGAATAATAACCAATAACATAAAGCAAACACAAAGGTGAACGTACTTATCAGTATATAAAGGGAAATGAATAAAGGGAACAATGAGAAATTTTAAAACCTATAAATCCTCATACAATATAGAACATGTATGTCTGACGCTAACAGATTAAGCAGACATAAAAGTTAGTGAAAATATAGATATTTGGAATTTTAAAAATCAACAAACTCAAATAGGTTCAGAATTCCTTTTAGAAGAATATAGAACATGAATTACTTTCAAGCAAATGTGAACAACAAAAAAATAATGTGTTATTTGTTGGGTCAAAAATGAATTTTAGTTCTAATTTTAAGACAGGCTCTTGCTAAATAACTAAATTGTCCAGGCTGGGTTTGAACTTTTGATCCTTCTACCTTAGCCCCTCAACATGCTGGATTGCAGGCAGCATGCTGGGATGCACTACCATACCTGGCAGGTCACAAACAAATTCCAAACAAATTTCAAAGAATCCATGTCAGAAAAGTTTTATGTCCAGTCAAAATGCAAATAAATTGGGTAAAAGTAATAAAAAGATACCCACTTTTAAATTAAAAAATTTTTCAAAATAAATCCTAAATAATTACTGTAGAAATTATAAGCTATGTAAAATGGAATAAAAATAAAGCCCCCATACATAAAAATTTGGAGAATGCAGCTAAAGCTCCACTCAGAGGGACATTTATAACCTTGACCATTTTTATGGCACAAAAGGGAGATTGAAATAGATGGGTTAAGTGCTCTGAATCATGAAACTAGAAAAAAAGAAAGATGTTCTATAAGAAATTGAAGAAACAAATATTAAAGATATGACCAGAAATCAGTGAAATAAAATGGAGAGTTCCTTTTCTGGTATTATGGTAGACCTAGTTATTCACCATACACTTTACTGAACATTCTGGACATAATAGTTTTAAATCCACTTAAGTTATTGAATATCTAACAAAATAAAAATGAACTGTTAAACTAGAAGGCAGGAATCCAGATAAATAAATGAAGTACTCAAGGTACTTTTTCCCTGAGATAGTTTGCTTTGTCTTGAATATCTGTCTTTTATCTTCCCCGGAGAAACTCTCTCTCGCTCTTCCTCTTTTTTTAAAAACAAGGTCTCACTATGCAGTTCAAACTGGCCTTGAACTCACTCTTTAGCCCAAACTGGCCTCAAACACTCTGCAGTCCTCCTGTCTCAGCCTCCCAAGTACTGGGATTACAGGCATGTGCCATCACACCCAGCTGAGAAGCTCTCTTGCAAACCAAAGATCAATTGTAACCTCTCTGGATGTATAGTCTGACTCAGTTACTATGGTATGTTTCTGCGTAGCAATGTCTGTCACATAGTAGGTGCTCAGCAAGCATATATTAAATGACAGTAGGAATATATGTATGGTATAAATGGCAGGAGGCCATTGGATCACTGGGACAAGATTTAGAAAGAAGGATGTGATTTGGGGTTGAGACACATATCCCAGAATTTCTTACCGTGCCAGTAGGTGCTCATCATGTTGTGTGGTTACTTTTAGGTAACGCCCACTTGAGTGACCAACTAAAGAGTTGCAGGGCAAGGTGGGAGGCTGAGCACAGAACCAGAGCTCACCAGAAACCGCATCCCTGTACTGGCAGGTAGCCTTTTTAGCACCAGTTGACTGAGGGTCAACATTGCAAATCACAATCTCTTCAGGTCCTTCTAGTCCCCGGAAATATCCCTTAAAATCAACTGTGGCTCCTTTCTCTGTCCAGATCCTCCGCAGAACCCCAACTGCCTCACTGGAGTGGATCAGCCGCACTTGCACCTGGGCCCTGCCAGCCCAAAGCAGGGGGAAGGACAAGAGGTAGGTGCCATTCTCCAGGTCCTGGACATCCCCGGGGACCCCTGCATTTAATTCTGAACCCAACAGCTGTGCCCTAAACAGATCTCCACCATGGGTCTTGGGCTTGCCCCAGTGGTCCCGGGCCACAAGGATGGCCTCCAGGTGGCCTCCCAGGGTGTAGCTGGCCCGGGCAGGACTCCTCAGGTGGTAAGTGGAGGTCCGGGGGCTGGTGGAGGCCAAAAGGTTCCCCCCATCTCCTGGGGTTGGAGGCCAGTACAGAAGGTATGTCAAGTTGGTGAGTGCCTGTGGGAGAGAATCAAAGAGGGAGGGAGATTCCATGAAGTTGGAAGCAAATTTAGAGGCAGGACGGGGTCCTGGGAGCCGGTAGGTGATGCTATCAGGCCAGAACATCTTGAGATAGAGTATCTGTGGGTAGAGAAAGAGGGATCTGTCACTGGTTTGTTTCTCTCATTTTTTTTCCTGGAAGCTAATCACCAAAGCTAGTCCCCTCTGCCAGGTAGGACTCTAGAGTCCTGTCTGCCTACGTCACGCTGTCTGTCACTCATAAGCCTGGTGCCTGAGTCACCACCACCTTTATGTGAAAGGAGCATCTAATACTGTAGAAAGTCGCAGTTCAGCCCAATTCTCTCCTTTTCTCAGCCTTCTTACTCCGTCTACTACCACCCCTCAACACCCACTGAGATATGAACAGGCTTGGATCCACTTTCACATTTCTAGTTTCCTATTCCGCATGAATCTTTCTTCCGCCTCAGGACCTGGTATTCTAAGTGTCTCCTTTTTTCTACCTAGGGCCTCTCTCCACAACTCCACCTGTTCCTAATCCAAATTTCCACTTGACAGTTGGGGGTGGGAAAACTCTTTATTTGATGCTTTTGAGAATTTACAAGAGTGACATGAGGCCATTTCTCAGTGAGCTCTTTTTCTTATTGTAGTCAGCTGGAAATAAGAGATACAGCTGCAGAAACCACTGGAAAAACAGGAAACTGTAGAAAAGCTCAGAATAGATGTGAGGTGGAGAAAGGATATAGATTGTTGATTCTTTTCTAGTAAGAGATAGTGTTTTCTGGGTTATAGAGCCTCCTCCAGGGCCCAGATCTCTTGGATGTCATATTCTGAGAAACACAAAGTCCAGAGAAGCAAAAAAATCCAAATGGGGAGAACAGTGGAGAGGAGCCGTGTTTTGTGTGACAGGCGTGGTGGTGATTAGAGGGAATCCAGATACTCACATCCTTCCATCAATATCCTTTCCATTCAAGCAAGTGTAATTCATTTTTAAAAAGCAATCTTTAGCCAAGTACGGTGCTACACACCTGTAATACCAGCACTTGGGAGGCTGAGGCAGGAGAATTGCTGCAAGTTCAAGGCCAGCCTGAACTGCATAGTGAAACCCTGCCTCAAAAAAGACAAAAAAAAAAAAAAAAATCAATCCACTGACATCTCTCAAATTCCACTCTGTGGAAAAACTGCTAATGTCTATCAAGTTTATACTTATAATTAAGAATATGCACTTCAGAGATATCAACCTCTACTGGGAAGATGTTTAGTGCAGCCATGTCTGTGTCATGAGGCACAGGGATAACAAACCCTGCTTTCACTGTCTCCTGAATTGGCTATTTATTTATAGATAGGTCTCCTCTGTTAAATGGTAAACTCTTGGAGGTAGTACTGCTTTTTCTCAAGATCTAGCACAGTGGACTGCTGAGAAGCCTTAGTAGAGGACTTAGGGATAAGAATGTGGCTCTGAGTTAAAAGCCAAGACACAGAATGTAAAAGCAAATTAAAAACTCATAACTTTTCTATACAGCAATAATAAACTAGCTCAGAAAGGAATCAGGAAAAAATTTCGTTCCAAATGAATTTTAGGATTTTTTTTTCTAATTCTGTGAGATATGCTATTGAGATTTTAATCAGGATTGTATTAAATCTGTATAACAATTTTGGAAGTATGGCCATTTTCAATATATTTGTTCTTCCCACCCAGGAATAAGGAATATCTTTCCATTTTCTGATATGCTCTTCCATCTCCTTTTTTAGAGTATTGTGGTTTTCAATGTAAAGTCCTTTATTTTCTTCATTAGATTGATTATTGGTATTTCTTTTTTTTGGATGCTACTGTATAAGGTGTTATTTCCCAAGTTTCTCTCTCTGTGAGTCTATTATTTGTGTAGAGGACTGTTCCTGATTCTTGACTGCTGACTTTGTATCCAACTATACTACTGAATTTGATTATTAAATCTAGAAGTCTTTTGGTTGAGTTTTGGGGGTCTTCAATGTAGAGTATCATCTTATCAGCAAATAATGATAATATAGCTTCTTCCTTTCCTATTCTTATTCCTTATTTTTTTTTCTTGTCTAATTGGTCTGGCTAATGTTTCCAGAACTATTTTGAATAAGAGTGGTGACAGTGAACATCCTTGTCTTAGTCCTGATTTTAGAGTGAAAGGTTTCAGTTTTTGTCCATATAGTATGATGCTGGGTGTTGGTTTGTCATAGATGGCTTTTATCAGATTGAGATAAGGACCCTCTACTTCAACTTTTTTTTGGTTTTATTTTGTTTTTTTCTGGTACAGGGAATTGAACTCACGACCTTGTGCTTGCCAGGAAGGCACTGTGCCGCTGAGCTAAATCCCCAGCCCCTCTATTCCAATTTTCTATAGGGTTTTTTAAAATTTTTTTTATCATGGATGTGTGTTGGACTTTGTCAAATACTTTTTCTACATCTCTTGAGATGATCACGTAGTTTTTTCTCTTGGTTCTGTTACTCTAGTGTATTGCATTTATTGATTTGTGTATGTTGAACTACCCCTGCATCCATGGGATAAAACCTACTTGGTCATGGTGTGTAATCTTGATGATTTCCTGCATTCTCTTTGCCAGTATAGTGGACCCCCAAAATTCGTGAAGTTCCTAGGGTACCTGTGAGTTGTGAAAAACTACAAATTTCAGATCTGGTCAGAAAAATGCCTATTGATGCCTATCTTTAATAGTTTAAACCCTGAATATGCTATGTCTTCCCCAATTATATAATTTGATTTAATAAAATACTGTATTAATAAAGCCCTAGACAGTGCAGGACGTTTTGGAGGCATCTCAGGGATCTTAGGGTTTTAAGAAGAACAAAACCGAGAATACTCGAGATAGCTACTCCTGGTACAGCAACCTGTTATGATGCGGGAATGCTGGTGCATCTACCCCAGATGGGTTACAGGGCAGCAGCCAATCAGCAGCAAGAACAACTGAATAACACTCTCAGATTGGCTACTTGCAAACCTCCCTGCCAAAAAAACAATTGTGGAGGATATTTTCAGTTTCTGTGAAATTATGGGGTTTTTTGCAAACAATTATTAGGTTCTAAGGAAAAATCCACAAATGACTGAGGCTCTGAACACTGAACTGTGACTTCATGGGGATATACTCTGCCTTACCAAGAATTTTTGCCACTATGTTCATTAGAGATATTGGCCCGTAGTTCTCATTTTTGATTGAATGCTTCTCTGGTTTTGGTAGCAGAGTAAGCCTTGCTTCCAGGAATGCGAGTGGATAGGTAAACCCTGTTTATGAGGAAGGAAGTATTTCTTCCCTTTCAATTTATTAAAGAGTTTGAGGAGTAGTGGCATTACATCTTTAAATTTCTTGTGGAAATAAATATATTTAAAAAGTTCAACATCACTGGTCAGTCAAGAGATGCAAATTAGAACAACACTGAGATTCCATCATACCCCAGAAAGAACAGCTATTATCAAGAAATCAACCAATAACAAATGCTGATGAGGCTGTGGGGAAAAAAGGAACCTTTCTCCACTTTTGATGGGAGTGTAGACTGGTACAACCACTGTGAAAACCAGTGTGGACATTTCTCAAAAAATAAAACTAGAGGTTTTATTTGACTCAGCTGATCTCCCACTTCGCATCTTCCTGAAAGAATTGAAAGCATCATACCACAGCAATATATACATGTCCATGTTTATAGCAGCACATTTTGTAATAGCTAAGTCATGGAACTAGCCTAAATGCCCCAAACCAGATGAATGGATAAAGAAAATGTGACTTTTTTATACAATGGGGTACTACTCTGCCACAAAGGATAAAGTTGGGACATTTCTAGCTAAATGGATGCATCTTGAGACCATATGCTTAAGTAAAATAAATCTGGCACACATGTTTAAATATCACATTGTTTCTCTGACGTGAGAAACTGAAAGGGTAAATAAGAACCAAAATGTACAATAGATGTTGGGAAATGGAAAGAAAATGTTCAGATGGAAAGTGGAACAAGAGAGGGAAGAAGGGACAAGAAAAAATAGAAGGGGGCTGGGGATTTAGCTCAGTGGCACAGCGCCTGCCTGGCAAGTGCAAGGTCGTGAGTTCGATTCCTGGTACCAGAGAAAAACAAACAAACAAACAAAAAAAAAAAAAAGAAAGAAAAACTAGAAGGAAAAATGGAAATAAAGCTTTTGTAAATAAGAAGTGGAAGAGAGGGCAAAGGGAGGGGAGAGAATTGAGGAGAAAAGAAGAATCAAGATATATTATGTACATATTATGTACAAATTCCATATGATGAATGTAGTCATTATGTAGTCTAAAATGTACCCATAAAATTAATTTTAAAAACATTGAAGCCATAGGTACAGGCAAAGTCTTCATGAATACAACTCTAATAGCACAGGAAATAATAGCAAGAATTAACAAATGATACTAGAGCTATTTAAAAATTCCACAGCAGTAAAGGAAACAACCAGAAGAGTGAAGAGACAGCCTACAGAAGGGAAAAAAATCATTGCCAGCTACTCTTCTGACAAAAGATTAACATTTAGAATATAAAAAGAGCTCAAAAAAAAAAAGAGAAAGAACTCAAAAAACTTAACACCAAGAAAATAAAGGTCACGATCAATAAATGAACAGACACCCCTCAAAAGAAGTAGTAAAAATGGCCAATAAGTGTAAGAGAAAACGTTCAACATCTTCAGCCATTAGAAAGATGCAAATCAAAACCACGCTGAGATTCCATCCCACCTTAGTCAGAATAATCAAGAATACAAAACCAATAGAGCTGGTGAGGATGGGAGGGGGAAGGAACACTGGCTGGAATATAAATTAGTACAACCTCTATGGAAGTAAGTATGGAGGTGCCTCAAAAAACTAAATCTAGAACTACCATATGACCCACCTATATCACTCCTCAGTATATATCTAAAGGCATTGCAGTCAACGGACTAGGGGGAATGCCTGCCAACTTATGTTCATTGTGGCCCAGTTCACAATAGCCAAGATATGGAACCAGCGTAGGTGCCCATCAACAGATGAATGGATAAAGAAAATGCGATATATATACACAACGAAGTATTAGTCAGTCATAAGGAAGACTGAAATATATATGTCATTTGCAGGAAAATGGAGCTGGAGGTCATCATAGTAAGCAAAATAAGCTGAACTCAGGAAAAACAAATATTCTGCACCTTCCCTGTTATATGGAATCTGAAAAAAAAAACAACGGCATGAAAGTAGAAAAGAGATTATTACTCAGCAAGAAGGAAATAAAAAGAATGGGTAAGAAAGGAGAATAGGGGAAGGATATGATCACAGTATGCTTTGTGCACATACGAAAATACCACATTGAAACCAAATCTTTTGTGAAAGTCATAAGTGCTAATAAAATTATATATTTGAAAAGTGAAGACAAAGGCCTCTTACATGAGGGTGAGGTGCACAGGTAGGGGAAAACCTATGCTATGGCAGCATAAATAATAAAAAAGGAGTCCAAATTCACAGATCATGAGTTAACAGGATTATGGTTTTGATTACATTAGTAAACTGAATATTGGCCTTCCACAAGGTCCATGGTGTAATTTTTGGATCCTGTGAATATATAATATAACCTCATATGGCAAAAGGAACTTTATACATATATATATATGTTGATGATTTTATGATAGGAAGTTATCCTGGATTATTAAACTATAAATGTAATCCTGAGTGCTTTGAAATATGGCATAGGATAATATCCTGATCCATTGTAGGGAAATATTTAACAGTCATCAAAACCCATTTACCGGGGATGGGGATTTAGCTCAGCGGCAAAAGCGCCTGCCCGGCAAGCGCAAGGTCCTGAGTTCAGTTCCCGGTACCGGAGGAAAACCAAAAAAAAAAAAAAAAAAAAAAAAAAAACAAAACCCACTTACCATCAAGAAAAAATTGATATATTTATGATTTTAAGAAAACCAATCTCAAACTGGATTGATTTTTCCAAATTTCGGTCTACCAGTCTGCGAAAGTCAGAATGAAAAGCTTTTTATCTTTAAAAGAAAGAAACCTAAAATAACCTGATGTTGATGAGTTTTCTGTTCTGTTTTTTTGTTTCCTCATTTCCACCTTACAAAACCCACAATTCTGCCGTTGCCCAGTGGGAGCTCACTTTCTGTTTTGTGAAACACAGGCTGCCTTAAATCATGAATCACAAATGAAATCCAACTAGATCTATAACTTAATTTGTTGTAATCTTGTCCTTTGACAACTTTCTGAAAGACCGAAATACTTGTGCACTTTCTTCATTGAGTTAGAAAAAGGTTGTTGACATTTTCCAACAAGCGGGAGAGCAATAGAATCAGTTTAAACAGACTTTGTAGACCCAGGCATTTCAAAATCTTACCGGCAGTGGAGAAAGTCAGTAAACATTTTACACAATAATATATCAGAAAGACTTGAAAATAGATAGTACTAGAACAATAAAAACTAAGGAGGGGCAGGAAACTGCGTGAAATTCTACTTAAATACTGGATTTATGGATTACAAAATCCATATTGCAACGATGTTAATGCTACTTAAATTTACTGGTACGTTCAATACAATTCTCATGAAAATCTCATGTTTTATATCTATGTGTATGTAAAAGAAAAGCTAACTCTGAAATTTATATGTAAATGCAAAGCTTTTGAAATCGACAAGACAATCTTTAAAAACATGAGGTGAGGAATTATTAAAAAAAACTTTTTGTCTTTTTGAGACAAGCTCTCTATATGCAGTTCATGCTGACCTTGAGCTTACTTTGTAGCCCAGGCTGGTCTCCAACTCACAACAATCCTCCTGCCTCAGCCTCCTGAGTGCTGGGACTACAGGCATGCACCACCATGCCCGGCATTAAAACTTTTAACAGACCTGCAGTGATTAAGATGATAGGATGCTGGTACAAGAATAAACAAAGAGACCCCTGGAACAGAATACAGCACCTAGAAATAGAGCCACACATTAGAGATAGTTGATTGGATGTAAAGGTGGCACTGCAAAATAATATAGAAAGTTTTTGTTCTCAATAAGTAGTGTTAGGACAATTGGATATCCTTATTAAGAAAAAAAGCTGGATCACTACTTATAACATCAACAAAAATAAATTCTGGGCATGTTATAAGCCAAAATCTCCTAGAAAATAACAAAGAAGAGCTTCCCTGCTTTGGAATAGGGGACATTTCTTTAACAAAATACAAAAGTACAACCATAAAGGAAAAGCTTGATAAAGTGGTCTAAACTGGAACTAAATTCATAATCTTTCACTGAAGGATACCGTCAAGACAGTGAAAAATGAAACAGAAAGTTTGAGAAGATATCTGCAGCACTCAAACACAACAAATGAAAGAGCTCACATCTAAAATGTATAAAGAATTTCTACAAATTGGTAAGAAAAATACAGGCCACCCTATTAAAAGTGGACAGAAAATAATACGCATTTCACCCAAAAGGAAGATTCAAAAGATCAGTAAATATATAAGTAGATGTTCAACTGAATTAGTAAGAAAATAAATACAAGTTAAAACCATAATGGAATACTTTTACATATTCAAAGAAAAGATAAAATTAAATGACAAACAGTTACAGTGTTGGCGAGGATGGGAAGAGACTGAACCTCTCAGATTGTGTGAGAAGAACAAATTGGAAAGACTACTTGGAAAACTCTCAGTATCTACTAAAGTTTAACATATACATATTCTAGGACCACACAATTTAGCTCATAAGTGTAATATACAGTATAGCCAAAAGAGAGCATGCCTGTTTATAGTAGCAATATCTAAGCTCCAAACTAAAAACAATAGATATCTCTATCAACAGCAGGATGCATAAGTAAATTTAATATTTTCATGTACTAGAATACTGTCATGAAATCAAAATTAATAAATTATATCTTCATGTGATAACACAGGTGAATCTTGCAAAAATATTATATACATAAAGTAGGTGATGTGTGATTACTTTTCTATGAGACTCAAGAACAGGCAAAAATTAACAATAACTTCAAAAGTCAAGGTGCTGGTTATGCCTAAGGAATGGTAGTGACATGAACGGTGGCACAAACAAAGGCTTCTAAGGGCGATGGTAATTTCTGTTTCTTAACTTGGATTGTGATCACGTAGGTGTGGTGTCCGATTTTTACTGAGCACTTACAATTTTACATGTATTTTTTATGTGTGTTATAGTTTAACTTCTTTAAAAAGCGGAAAATTTTGGCTGCTACACAAAGAAATCTCACCCTTTCACACAGTACCAAGCTACTCTGGAAATGAAACTGATCCTTTCTTTAGACCTACTTGTTAAGGAGTTAGAATTTCCCTATTAAACTCACTGCTCTTAGAATAAAGGCCAATTTGTGAAACCAAAGTCCAAATCATACACCTCTCTCTTTTTTTTGAACCGGGAATTGAACTCAAGACATTGCACTTGCCAGGCAGGTGCTGTGCTGCTGAGTTATATCCCTGGCCCTGATCTACGTATTCAAAGAAGAGTAAAATTATTGTCCTTTCCATACTAAAACCCTACTGTTTACATATCCACAACTCACTCAATTATTACATAATTGAGCAGGGTGCCACTCAGTTGCTGCAGCCTCGCTTTCTCCATATTAAAGATTTTTTTTTTCCCCTGATAGGAAAAGAATCAGGAACTGTTTCTTAGGAATTTCCCGATTCCCTACCTGTTTTTTTGCCTGCTAAAAGCACACACCATAGACTCCCATCTTTTTCTCTTATACTGGGGCGTAAAACATCATCCAAAGATGAAAAAGTAAAGAATAATGTAAATTGCTTATTCTTTTTTCACCATTAGAATTCCCTGAGAACAACTTCTTCTGAAGTTAAGCTTTAAATTTCAGATAGACCTCAACCGCCAACTTGCTCAGCCTCCTCCTTCGACTGACAGCCCACCCTGCAACTGTTACCCCTGGAATCACATAGGGGCAGAGGTAAGAAGACCAAGGCTTCTCTGAGTCTCTAGCTAAAAGCGCTTAACCAAGCCAAATCTGAAGTTGTACAGGGAGAGAAAAGAAGAGCCAGCAATATGAGAGAGTGCAGGCAAGGAAAGTACTCACCCAAATCAAAAAGACCAGCCCCATCGTCAAAATCTTGTAGCACTTGAATTGTCCCATAAACAGACCCATGCTGCCGGGACTGTTCTTGAGTTGTCAGGATGAACCAAGGATCCACATAAAGCATAAAGCAACACAAATTAACAGACTCTGCCATCATACAGGAGGGAGTTTACTGTGGCAACTTTCCCACTTCCTTGAATTCTGTCATGCATCATATGTACGTGTTTTTACAATAGCCTTCAGTCTATTCCAGCCCCGTGTCTCTCAGGGATCCTCAAAAACCACCCTTCCAAGTCCCAGTTTTCTACCAAAATCCAAAAGTCTCACATCTGAACTTTGGAACTAACACAGACTCCTGTAAACAGACAGGTTTCATTTTAGCATGTTAAGGATGACCCTAGAGCTCTGTACTAAGCCTGGTTTACACATCTGAGAAATTAGTACTTTCCCAACTGCTTTATTTTTATCTATTTATTAATTTCTAATTTTGAGGCAGGGTCTCACTAAGTCACAAAATTGCCCAAGCTGGACTTACACCTTCGGTCCTCCTGCCACAGCCTCCCACAGTACTGGGATTACAGGCACTCACCACCAGGTCCAGCTCACAATTATTGTAGATTCAGGCAAAGGTTATGATTCATAAAATGCCACCAGAGAACTTACTGTGTGTCATTCACTTGCAAATTTTCATGGTATGTATTTGCTGTATGGCGTACTTGTTCTACTGATATGGGAGAACCTGGGCAAGACAGATTCCCTGTGAAAGGACATGGCATCTACCTGAGAGAGTCCACATAGCTTTCCCAGAGGATGATGAGGTCTGAGGGGGCCAGAGCGGGACTCAGCATGTGTCAGTCCAGTCCTCACTGCCCTGAAATGCACATGATGAAATAATTATAAGGCAGAAAAGTAAGAGTTGGAATAACCACATTAAAAAAAAGAATAAAAGTTTGTCAAAATAATAACCAAAGTTGGTATTTTTAGTTGAACTTTGAATTTGGTGTAGAGATCCTGAAAAACCTTTTTTAACCTGGGGAAAAAGGGACAGTGTAAGCAATTATCAGTATTTCCCACCTTTCAGTCATGCAGCTGAAGTTTGCATGATTTTGTCATAAATGCACACAGCCTACATTACTTTCTATTTAGTCTCTTCCTTTAAAATTATTCATGGTATATCTTAGTTACTTTTTTGGTTACTGAGACAAAATACCTGACACCCAACGTTTAAAGGGGAAAGGTTTATTTAGCTCACAGTTTGTAGAGGTTTCAGTCCATAATTGGTTGGCTCCAGTTCAGGATGGCTTGGCAGAGAGCCATCACAGGGAACAGTTCGTGGTGCCTACAAGATAGCAAAAGCATCACGGGGACCTTAACAGTGTCTTTATGTCACTTTTATCTAGACTACTTAGCTCAGGTAGCACTCACATCTAGTGCCCTTGGGCCTAGCACTGCACCATGAGTCAATCCCAGAGTCACATACTCTAGATCCAGTCACCTCTGAAGAAGCCCCACCCACAACTACATGAGGCTTTGGGGGGCATCTAAATACAAGCCATGACATTCCATCCCTGATCCCCAAAGACTCATGCATATCCCTTTATGCAAAAAAGCATTTAGTCCATCTCCAAGAGTTGCCAAAGTCTGAACAGTTTTAGCATTTCTGAAAAGTCCAAGTCCAAAGTCTTCTCTGATATTTAAAACAAATTCTTAGCTGTAAGTCCTTCTACAAATGAAAAGAAAGTTAAACACTTCCAACATTCAAGACACAAGATAGATATTTCCATATCAAAAATTATAAACAGAGAGATACAAAAAAAAAAAATGGGACCAAAACCAAGCCCAAAATCCAACAGGGCAAACATGAAGTCTAGTAGTGCCATGTACAAGATCTGAGGCAATCTGTGGCAAGACGGGAACTCCAAAGGGCTTGGGTGGCTCCACCCCTACAGTACTTGCAGTGGTTGTAGCTCCCATAGCTTCTTGGGTTGGCTCTGATCCCTCCTTGCAGTTTTCCTCAGATGATACACATTCTGCTTCTCCTCACTTCTGGGGTCTCCACTGTACCTTTGGCCTCACACTAACAGCTTCATATACAGTGATCCCTCACCTATTGCAGGAGTTAAGTTCCAGAGACCCCCGCAATAGGTGAAAATCTGCGAAGTAGTGGCATTATATTTATTTTATTATTTATATGTATTTTAAAGCTTTATAAACCCTTCCCACACTTCTATGAGCCTTTCCCACTCTCTTAGCCTTTCCCACACTCTTATCAAACACTTCATATGTTCTCAAACACTTCTACAGTCTTAAACCTACATAATTTTAACAACATGTAAAATTCTATATGGGTTCTCACCAGTGAAGTATACTACAACTTGAATGATGAACATCATGAATTATGTAGTTGTACAGTACTGTTGGCGGTGAAGGTGATGATGATGAGATGAATATCCTGTAGAGCCAAGAAGAGCACGGGCTTTTTGACTTATAAATAAGCCCTGGCTTTATCATAAACCCGCAGCATGAATTACTTTTTGGGCCTTAAAACCAGGGGCTTTGGCTCCATCCTTCATAGTAAAAGTGCAAGATGGCATGTTTCCAAAATAAGCTTGACTCATCCATGTTATAAATTTGTTCAGACTTATAGCCCCCTTCCTCGATGATGGATTTGAACATGTCATTCACATACTTCTCAGCTCTGGCTTTGTCTGCAGAGGCAGCTTCTCCATGCAGAGAAATGCTCTTGAGTCCAAAGCATCTCTGAAACTTGTCAAACAAGCCCTTGCTGGCACTGAATGGGGTTAGTCTGGTGGGAGAAGTATTCAATTGCCTTGCTTCTGCACTGTCGTCCTTGTCTTCATCCTCACCACCGTCATGAACATCCGCACTTTCTGCAAAACTATCATAGTTTCTCAGCCTTCATCTGCATGGTGTTGGTATCCATTGAGATATTTTTCTTCCTACAGTCATTTATCCATAGGGCCAGTGCAGACTCCATCCTCACAATGGCCTTATGGTGGGACATGACCACCCTCTTCACAGTCTTGTTAAAAGTCGTTGTTGTCATAGACCTAATATTCTTCTCACCTTTCTTTATGTAGTGAAGAATAGATTCATTGATCCCGTAATGGCACCTACAGCCACATAGTTTTTGCCTTCCTTTAATGTGTTGAGAAGTTCCACCCTTTCTTTGATGGTAAGCATCTTCCTCTGGTGCTTAGGTTCACTGTCAGAAGCCTTAGAAGGAGCAGAACGTTTGGATGGCATCATAGGGCTTGAAATAAATTCAAACTTTTACAAAAATTTCACAAAAACACAACACCATAGAGCAACACTATGTGCAGTGATCAGACGTTGATATGAAATGGACAAGGACAGATGTTGAATGTATGGGCACAGTGCAGGAGAACAAACAGACTGATGCTATGGTCACTGAGCCAATCAGCACACAGGGTACAGAACACAGTGCTATGGTTGGTCGCATTCCATTCCATCAGCCAACAGTGTTCCATGTACAATCTCACATTGACAAACTTGCACAAGCAGTAGTGGTGTACTGCGTTTCCACTGTATATAGTATGGTATTCATCTCTTGATGAAATATATACTGTATTTTATTTCAATTTAATATTCTTTTAATATGTT